ATTATCTACTCAATTGCTGTTTTCTGGAAATTTTTTTCAAATTCTTATATGTGTACCTTTCAACTTTCCTTAAATCTCATGTTGACACTCTTGCTGTCTTATGTAGAACTTTGTTTAGAAAAGTAATATGCTGGCTTTGACCATGAAGTATTATAGTCTGAGAAATTATTTTCTAAGCCTCTAGGGAAGAGGGTCACACTTAAATCTTTTTTTTTTTTAAAGAAAACCATTATTGTGCTTAAAAGTTGTTTTTACAGTGCCTCAATCTAAGTACTATATAAAGACCCCCTAAACAGAGATGACTTTACTTTTTAGAAGGTTACACAAATGAAGAAAGTCACACTTATTGGAACAAACATGAGATTATTCAAATGCTGGAGTAGAAATAATTTTTTAAACATGGGTGAAAAATAAAATAATTGCAACCCCCTCAGGTCCCCTACCACTGTGGGAGCTTTCCTGTCCTCTCAGTAAATCCTGCTTGAAACAAAAAATGAAAAATAAATTAATTACATTAGACCTAGATGAGAGAAGTGAATATATTTGGAATGAAAGAGATGAGAGCTTTTTAATGGTACTAAAAATTCACATTTTTAGTCCTGGATACTCATCAGTATATTTGTCCCTCTTCTTTGCCCCTCAACCTGGCTGTTGCAGGAAAGTCAGAACAAGGAGAAGATTTCTGCTAAGATAGAGGCTCTGAATGAGAAAACCCCTTCTCTGGCCAAGGCAATAGCTTCTTGGAAGTTGCAATTGGAAGATGATTATGCCTTTCAGGAGTTTAATTGGAAGGCTGATGTGGTGGAAGCCTGGATAGGTATGATGTGGCAGGGTCAGGATCTCTTGGATCTGAGAAATCCTAATAAATTCCATATGTAGCCGGGTTCGGTGGCTCAGCTTGTAATCCCACGCCTTTGGGAGGCTGAGGTGAGTAGATTGCCTGAGCCCGCGGGTTCAAGACCCGCCTGGGCAGCGAAATCTCATCTCTACAATAAATCAAGAAAATCAGCCGGGTGTGGTAGCGCATGCCTGTAATTCCAGCTACCCGGAAGGCTGAGGCGGAAGGATAGCTGGAGCCCAGCAGGTCGAGGCTGCGGTGGCCGGGAGCGGCCACTGCACTCCAGTCTGGGTGACAGAGTGAGACTCCAACTCAAAAAAAAAATTCCATATGTAGAATGGTCTCCTGAGATTTTTTTCTCTTACTGCTTAGAAAGAGGTTCTCCCTTCATCATTCACTCCTATTTTCTTCTGGACACAATAGTGCTTATAAATTGCACAATTGCACTTACAAATACACACACATGTGGGGAGAGAGAGACAGAGAGACAGAGAGAAACACACCGATAGGGTAACTAAGTACCATAAATCCAGAGAGCACATTCTTTGAGAATTGGTGATTTCATGTATGATATTCAGAAAGGTAGCTTTGGCAAAATAAACTAAACATTTGCTTGGTTTTCTTAAAATTTATGTCTAATCTGTAATTTTTCTTTTTTATTGAAGCAATCCAAAAGTTCTCTTGACTCTAGCCCTAATGAAGTCAATTTTATCCTGAGTCTAGAAAAACAATCCATTGGTGCCCACTTCCTTCATCTTCCAATGAATCACCTTCTTTGAGAGTCAGGAAGCTTTCTTATTCTCTATTGCAAATATTACTTTCCCCCTTACCAGTGTTCACACAAGACTAAGTATCTTTCTTTTCTTATTATCTTTGTCTTTTAGCTGAGAAGGAAACAAGCCTGAAGACCAATGGCAATGGTGCAGACCTTGCTGCCTTTCTCACTCTCCTGGCAAAGCAGGTGAGAGCAGAATTTTGTGTTGGCAGATGTCAGGGAAGTTCAAGACCCACATCACACAGAAGATCAGTCCTCCAGGATAATTCATTTCTAAATTTTGGGACTTTATTGTTTGTAGCATCTGTAATATTGTTCCCCTTTACCTTTCTAATATTGATAATTTGCTAGTTTCTCTGTGTGTTTGAGTGTGTGTGTGTGTGTGTGTGTGTGTGTGTGTGTGTGTGTGTGTGTCTCACACATACACATGCACAAACTGATTTTGCTAGGTAGGTGTTTATCATTTTGTTAGAAAATCAACTTTTAAATGTCTCGAGGTAGATATTTTGGTTATCAAAATATATATAAATTTCCTCACAGCAAAGCATTAGCTGAATTCCACAAATTTTATGTCATTTTGTTATCATTCAGTTATTTTTTTCTCTCATTTCTAATTTAATTTCTTATTTTTCCTATTGATTATTTAGTAATGTATTGCTTGATTTCTAAACATTTGGGAATTTGTTTATTATATTTTTTGACACTTACATCTAGTTTAATTTCACTGTATTTTAAAAATATATACTCAGTGTTTTTTCAGAAGCTTGATTTATATCCAGAACATGGTCCATTTTGGTTTATATTCTGTGTACATTTGAAAAAAATGTACATTTACAGTGGCTTATGTTATCAAATAGATTTTGGGCATGAAGTTTGTTTTTAAAAATACTTTGTTATCTTCATATATTTTTAGGTTAGGTTAAAAGTTGTATTGACCTTTATAATTGTGAAATCTTCTTGATAAATTGATATTTTAAATTATGAAATGTCCCTCTTTCTCTCTAATACCATTTTTCAATCTAAAGTCTTCCTTTTCCCATACTAGTATACTATATCAATTTTCTTTTCTGTGTATTTGCATGGTATGTATTTTTTATTTGTTTTACCTTTTGTTGTCTTTATATTTTAGATGTGTCTTTTGTAAATATCATATAGTTGGGTATTGCTTTATGCATCTAATTTGCTATTTTTATTGGAAAAGTAAATCTACAAACATTTTAAGTAATGAAATCATGAATTTGATTCTAAAGCTATAATTTAACACTCCCTCCATCATCCAATCCCTTATTTATCAGTCAGGAATTAAAAATGTTTAAGATAGTTTGTTGCTGTTGTTGTTGTTTTGGGAGAACTTGCCTTTTTTGATTTGCTCCAATGGCCTTTTGAAGGTTTCAACTTAAGCCTTTAACAAGGACTGCTTCTACTTGATGGATCACAAATTCAGTCATATGACACTATCAAAAATTCTTCTCAACTTGGCTTTTAGGACATGTGTCCTATACCATTAGGGAATCTAAAATACCTTCAGGAAAAAAGTCAGAAGAATATCTATCCTACTCTTCTGCAGTTTTATTTTTGGCCTCTCAAATCCGCATTCTCCAGAATGCTACTTTTGTCTTTTTAACTCCATAAGATTGTCAACGCCCTCAGCAATGCTTTCTTCTCAATATCTAATCTTGAACAGCTTATACTTCAAAGATAAAAGTGAAGAGAGTTTTGCTCTTACTGTAGTACAGTTCACTTCTTTCTGGAATTTTTATACCTCGACTAGTAGCTACCTGATTTGAATTCCAATTCCTTTTTTTTTTCCTGTATTTTATCTAGCTGATAAAATTGATTCTTTTTTTTTGGTACTTTGTCTAGCTAATAAAGTTGATTCTTTTTTTGTACTCTATCTAGCTGATAAAGTTGTCCTCAAAGAGAAAACTGGTCAAATATAAACCACTGTGTTGGAGCTAGAGGTGAAATTTCCTGAATTTGTAATTTTAATATCAACATTTCTACAAAACAAATATTGGCATAACTGGCACATGTAGATCTTTTGTTAGTTTGTGTACTTCCAAGGTTCCCAATAGTGTACTGCTACTAATTAGAACACAGAATGTAATAAGTAATATAAGAGAATACTGGAAAGGATGTGTGCTATAGGAAGGATTTAGTTTTGATTGGGAAAAATTGGAACATCATAACATGCTCCAGTATATTTCCTTAATATTAATTTTATACTTAACCTCAAATCTCATTTAAAATATACATGAACTGGAACTTAACTATATTTTCTGCCCGAGGAGATGTTTGCTTAAGTCTCTAAGTTATAGTTCTCTTTTCTTGCTCATCATCCTAACTCTTGCCTGGTCTTTATCTTGTCTAAGATAAAAATCTTGTGGAATCCAATGGGAATAATCCTTTGGAACCTACACTATCTTCCTATTCACAACCTCCTCGGTCTTTCTTAGGACACGCTGGATGCCAGCCTGCAGAGTTTCCAGCAAGAGAGACTTTCTGAGATCACTGACCTGAAGGACCAACTGGTGGCTGCTCAGCACAGTCAGACCAAAGCCATTGAGGAGCGCCATGCTGCCCTGCTGAGACACTGGGAACAATTGCTGGAAGCCTCTGCGTTTCACAGACAGAAATTGCTGGAGAAGCAGCTGCCTCTACAGAAGGTTAAAAAACATGATAAGATATGATCAGTCCTCTATTATCTGTATATTAACTGAAAAATTCAGAAATAGCTGCTGGAAATCCTTTTTAGGTAATCTGAACATTTTAGTGCGTTGAAAAAGGTCAGAAAAACATTCTTACTGAGCAGAATGTAGATTGATAGGACTATTTTTAGACTGATTGATCAGTTATACAGCTGCCTTGACATAGAAGCCAGGAAAATGTAGTGGAGGAGGTAGAAGGTGGAAGCTCTCCTCTATATGATAGAACTAAAACTGACAGGCAGAGGTCAAGGTTGTCCTTGCGCTTGCTCTCCAACTCAAATAAAAAGAACACTGGACCTATTCTCAACCTTTATCAAACTTCTCTAAGTGGAAGACCTTTTATACATCATTGAACCTTGATTTCCCCATTTAGGATATAGGGTAATACTACCTTTCTCTCCTACCTTTCTGTGTTATTACTATTAAAAGAGATAATGGATCTAAAAATGAACTATAAACCACTAAGTTCGAAATAAATATAAAGTATTAAAATGCTCTTTCCAATGGTGACTTCCAAGTCATCAGATATTGATAATAAAAGGGAATTAGAACAGTCAGTGAAATTACTGGAGCCGGGCTTGGTGGCTGAGCCTGTAATCCCGTGCCTTTGGGAGGCTGAGGTGAGTGGATTGCCTGAGCCCACGGGTTCGAGACCCGCCTGGGCAGTGAGACCTCATCTCTACAATAAATCAAAAAATCAGCCAGACGTGGTAGCACATGCCTGTAATTCCAGCTACTTGGAAGGCTGAGGTGGAAGGATTGCTGCAGCCCGGCAGGTCGAGGCTGCGGTGGCCGGGAGCGGCCACTGCACTCTAGTCTGGGCCACAGAGTGAGACTCCAACTCAAAAAAAAAGAAAAAAAAGAAATTACTGATAACTCCTAGAACATAAGAAACATTATACTTGCAATAAGTTAAGGCAAGGAGTTAGGGAAATTAGGAAACAAACATACAAGGAAAACTTGATCAGTCTAGATTCTTAGTTTATTTCTACTCTATTGAAAAACTTAAGAACTACAGAAATAACTCAAGTGAAAAATTAAATCAGTTAAATCAGCAACATCCATGTATGCATTTTAATAAGCTCTTCCACATACTTATTCTGTTTCTTCTGAATTTTCAAGCTGCAAAAGGTTTTGTTGTCTTATTTTCTGATTATGAAATATTTGTAAAATATTCAGTCAATCCATAATTTTATGAAAATAATATGAAGCACTTGGTAAGTTTCTGTATCCTTCCTGGATAAGGACTGTATAAATTTTCTCTACATTGATCTATGTTCATACTATTTCCTTCTTTCGGTAATATAGACAACTCAGAATTATTCAGAGCATGTGGATAACTCCAAACAGTAATATAGAGACACATCGATTCATGCCAAGGATGCAAGCTAGAGGATAGAAAATGGGTTTAAGACAGGTTTGAAAAGCTTCTGGCATAAAATCAAATATAAGTAAAGTTAAGAAGGAAGTGGAAAGAGACAACACCGTCACAGAGATAGCTGGTGTGGTCCGCAGAAGCTTGAAGTTAAAAAGATAAAATGGATAAGGGATCGAACAAATTTGTTTGGTTTATTCAATCATTTTTCACCCGTCTACTCAACACCTATTTTTTGCATGTTTAGTATGCATCCGGTAGAATTAGAGCACAGAATTTAGAGTAAGAAATCATATAATTGGCCGGGCTCTGTGACTCAGTCTGTAATCCCACACTTTGAAAGGCTGAGGCAAGTGGATTGCCTGAGCCCGACAGATTCGAGACCAGCCTGGGGAACTTGGTGAGACCTCATCTCTACAATAAATAAAAAATTAGCTGGGTGTGGTAGTGCACACCTGTAGTTCCAGCTACTTGGAAGGCTGAGGCGGGAGGATCGCCAGAGCCCAGCAGGTCAAAGCTGCAATGGCCGTGAGTGTGCCACTGCTCTTCTGCCTGGGCCACAGAGTGAGACTCCAACTCAAAAAAACAAAAACAAAAACAAAAGAAAAGAAAGGAGATCATATAATTGAAAACTACCCCTTGCCACTTTTGCAATCCAAGAATGGATATAACTTTAAAAGTCATTCAGTCTCCGTATTTTTATATAATGAAAGACTGAACCAATTTCACACAATGAAAAAATGCCAGCACCAGGGCTTTTATCTTACCTCTAACTCCCAAGCCCATTCATCCAATCACACAGTCCCTACTGGTTTTAGTTCTGTCCTTTTAGATTGCTGGCCCTGCAAATATTTAAAGACAGACATAATTTTTATTCTCAAACTTATTTTCTGCTAAGGGACTTTACCAAGAAAGACAGTGATAGCTTTTTTTCTTCCCTCCAGGCTGAGGAACTATTCATGGAATTTGCAAACAAGGCTTCAGCTTTCAACAACTGGTGTGAAAATGCTGAAGAGGACCTGTCAGAGCCTGTACACTGTGTTTCCCTGAATGAGATTCGGCAGTTGCAGAAGGACCATGAGACCTTCTTGGCCTCCTTGGCAGGGGCTCAAGCAGACTTCAACTATTTACTGGAGCTAGACCAACAGATTAAGGCCTTAAATGTGCCCTCCAGCCCTTATACCTGGTTAACAGTGGAGGTCCTAGAAAGAATCTGGAAGCACCTACCTGACATCATCAAGGTAACTTGG